TAAAAATGTGGCGAGTTAGAGATCTGTGTGCAGTTGCAGAGCTACAGACTTGTTGGGAACATGGAAACACGGATGGAGTGTTGCGATAAGGGGATGCAGGCTCTTTGGGAAGGACAGGATGGGAAGATGAGGACGAGGAGATGCCCAGAGAGAGCAGCTGGAGTGCATGGAGCTCTGCCTGGGGATGGACAAAGTTGGGCAAGCTAAAGCCCAAATGGGATTGATTCTGGCCAGGACTGTCAAGGACCATGTGAAGGGCTTCCACAAGTACATAGGTGACAAAAGGAAGACTAGGAAAAAGGTGGGCCCATTGCTTAATGAGACAGGGGACCTGGTTACACAGCACATGGAAAAGGCTGAGGTACTGAATACCTTCTTTGCCTCAGTCTTTACTAGCAAGACAAGCCTTCAAGGATCCCAGGCATCAGAGACCAGGAGGAAAGACTGGAGAAAGGAATATGTATCCTTGGTAGAAGAGGATCAGGTCAGGGAATACTTAAGCAAAATGGACATACATAAGTCCATGCACCCAGATGGGAAACACACATGAGTGCTGAGGGAGCTGGCTGATGTCACTGCAAGGCCACTCTTTATAATCTTTGATCAGTCATGACAACTGGCAGAAGTGCCTGAAGACTGGAGGAAAGCAAATGTCTCCTGTCTTCAAGAAGGACTCAGAGAACTACAGGCTGCTCAGCTTCATCTCAATCCCTGGGAAGGTGACGGAGCACCTAATCCTGGAAACCATTTCCAGGCACGTGAAGCACAAGAAACTCCTCAGGAGCAGTCAGCATTGAAAAGGTTGGGATATGTCTAAATTTATTCATTGATACTTACAAGTACAAAGCTCAGTAAGTATAAGCTGTAAAAGCTGTACAATTAAGACTTCTTTTTCCGCTTCAGCTTTTCAACGAAAGCATAGGACATAGAAGAATTTGTTAAAGCCAAATTAAAGAAGCAACATCACCTTAAAACCAATACCCTTGATTCATTCTGACTAAATGGCTTATTTAAATCCTTGGGGACGAGGGAAAGGGGTGTCACTGAAAGACAAACTTTATGTAGCAATCTATTCCTTAATATAAGATGCTTCTAAACAGATTTTTTGAGGTCCGTGCTTGAAACGTAGCAGCTGCATCAACTGGAAATGTTTACACAATTTGTTCCCAATGTTCTAACACATATATGGAGCTTCTTGGAGCTGCCTCTCAGCATGCCAAGTTCAGAGAAGAATTATACAGTAGCAACTCTGTTTTTGTGCATCACCTAAGTTCACCTTATGTATGTTTTATATATAGAAAAAGCTACATCAAAATACACAACCATTTTTCAGTTTCACTCTTATATGTTATGCAGTTCACAGAAAGAAACTGGATGTGTAGCAAAAGTGATGTTCCTAGCGACTGCAGGCAACCCACTTAATGTCATACAGTAACTCTGATATACTGAAATACTAAACAGAACCCCAGAAAGCCAGTACTTTTTCCCGATAGGATTATCCTTCCTCTTACAGAGCACACCGCTTCCCTCTTTGACCTGAAGCTCTTAATGTTGCAAAACCCGAGTACACAATGGATTTGACATCTCTCTGGAAAATAGCATCTGAGACACAAGTACTAATGATTGTTTTTACAGGTGCCAATACAATGATAGTTTTCGATGCGTCTTCACCTTCATATACCCCAAAGCCAGTGACACGCAGGCTAATCGATGCCTTAAGATTTAATCAGAACGTGTTGAGAAAGAAGTTGCTGTAGCGTGATACAGAAAAGCAACAACCTAACTCTGAAGTGGATAACAGTGCTTCATAGTGACTCAAGGAAATACAGCAGGGCAGACAGAATAAGGCAGAGCAAAAAACCCATAAAGATCAGTAATTCACCTCTAACTCTGATTAGCTGCAAATGTTTAGCAATCAAGAATGGTTTAGCAGTAATCCTTATTTCTAAGTGGGAACTGATGTTAAGAAAGAAAAAACACTGTCTAAGGAAAATAGCCTTTCTGGGCTGTAGAGCCAGAGAGGGAAATGCAACAGAGCACTGGAGTCCACCCCTTCTCCCCTCCTGCCTTTCCTCTGTCCCCAACACCGACCGCTCCCAAGGACGGGCCTCTCTAAGGAACAGTCCTCCTGCCCTTTTGGTTACTCTTCCTACTCCTCCTGTTCTAAAAGGTAATTTGTTTTAACAAATCATTGAAAAAAACAGCATGATTTCTCCTCATTAGTAGTTACAAAAATGAAAGTTTTCTGGGGTTGGTTGGCTTGTTTATAAACAAGAATAATTGCAATTCAGATTTGCTGAGCTAGTTTATAGAGAAACTTCTGGGAAAACCAACCAAACACATCATAAAAATGACACCACAAACACAGATGAAGACATGTATCATCTTACTTACGTTACTTTCATGACCTGAAGTCACATGGCTAAGCCAGCCTGCACCAGTGCTATAGAGAGGAAGGTGAGAGCTTCCTTCGCTTGATGGGAATAGGTGAACCACTCCAGCACAGAAACAAGTCAAGACACCAATGGAGGAAACAGGAAAGCGATGGAGATGGGAAATGGGGGCCCTTGAATCTGCTCTTGCCGCTTTCATTCCACAGCATCGGCCGACTTAACATGAGAAGCAAGTTAAAGAGTTGTTCAGAACTGGGTAAGTCTCCTGCAGAGCATCTCACCTGGCTTCAGCCACAGCTCTAAGACAGATACGAACTAAATGAGGAGAGGCCAATCAGAGCAATAAGAAAAGATGACTGATGAAGAAAGACCAGACAAGCTGGGCATATTTTAGCCTAAAGCAGAGGAAGATGGATGGGGGTGGGGGGCTCCCACCTGAAGATTTTTAAGAACCAGCTAACTGTGTATGCATCAGGAACGGAATAGACAGCTTTGTCTTCACCTTAATGCAGAGCGAAAGAAGGACGGATCTCTTGAGGACGTTTTTAGCTCTATATTTTTCTAGGATTTGGAAATGGGCCATTCAAAACAGTAACAACTACTTCACTTTTCTCCAAAGGAAGACATCCTACAACAGTCCCATATTGCAAACTGTCCTTTTCCCAGAATGTTAGAATTTATTCTCATTCTAAAAATTTCTTCACACTGCCAGAGCAGTAAAAAGACACTTTGGTGTCACTGAGAATCAAGCCCCCCCCCACCCCACCCAATCAATCAAGTTCTTTATTTATATCTCTTGGATATAATAATCTCTCTAGAATTAAAGGACTATAGTTTTTAGGTTTTGATACAACACAATTAGATATCAGGGCCTTGAGTAAAACAGACCTTTAAACAGAAGGTTAAGACAGCATTAAAAAAATTATTAGCATGTCAGTAGAGTCTGAGTAGATAGCTCTTTAATAACACTGGACAGGGAATTTGAGGGAAAATACTTCAGAGAAGTAAATGAATATTCTTTCCAGCAGAACGATTTCTTTAAATACAAAAATCAAAATTATGCAGGTCTTTTTTATGTTTCAAAAGAATCACTTTGAAGGTAAAATATACCTACACAAAGCAATTAAGATGAGAAGAAGAGAGAGAGAAAAAGAATACTCCAAGGGCCAAGTATGTAAGACTGATAGAACTATTCAATCAAGGCATAATCATCCATTTTTCCCCTGAATTATATTTATTTAATAAGAACATAAAGTTATGCAGAAGAGATGAATGGCTTACAGGAGATGGTAAAATGAAAGCTTTAAAATGTCGTTCTATGGAAAACATCACCATCAAAGAGAACTGCTTGCTGCAGGTCAAACAGCTTTCCATTTGAATTCAGGATTGTGTTGTGGTCAGCTCTGTGAGCAACCACTAGAAGAGAAACAGACGATGATGGAAGGAATACTCCTACAACCGTAAGCAGGGCTTGACAGACTCCAGTCTCAGTTTTAGCAGTCACAGATCTCAGACATCAAACTTCTCAAAAGTGACCAAGAAATAAATTTTAAGTTAACTTTTACTTTAAGACTACAGCCGCCTTCTCCAGCTGTGGTCTTTGCTTTGAAGGACAGGAGAAAATTGAGCTTCCCTTGGCCTCCATCATGCATTTGCCACGAGATAAAACACAAAATATGTGCCAAATTTTGCTGTATGAACAAAACTGTTACTAAGTTTGTAAGTTCTACCAAATACCTGTCTTTTTTTTTGTCCTGAGACTCGGCTTTATTAATCTACTTGCTTTTACTAAACTACTTCTTTATGAATTCTTGTTCAAAACAACTGAAAAACCTAAAGAGAAGCACAAAGGATCCTTAATAACCTTGAATTACACAGCATTCCACGGCTGTAGTACAAAAATGAGAAACCACTTGAATGTAGTGTTTTGCATCACAATCCCAGCTCAGCACTTCTGGGGCAGAAACTGGCAAATTTTTATGATTTCAAATGCCATTAGAGAAAACAAGAACATATTCCCCTTTCAGTCTCATTTCCTTACCTAGCATATACATTTATAGACAACCTTTGTACTTGCCTTTGGTCACGTATGACACCCTGACACTAATGCAGAAATAATTCAGAAAGAAGATTTCCTGTTTTATTACCCATCTCACTTCACAAAGCAAGCAATTTTCTCGACGGCCTCATGAGAAGAATGAAGAGGACATGGTTAGTTTCTGCTCCCGGTGGGACGCATAAGACGTTCCTCTACTCAACCCTTGCTAGGGGCACAGCAAGTTTTTTCAGAGGCTGCATCACAGGCCTGGCACTGATGGATGCGTAAAATAAGACAGGCTGAAAGCAGAGCTATAAACAAGAGGAAAAAGACCAGTGGGCTTAAGGAAAAAAGGATATTTTAGGCTACGTGTCTGTTTTTAAAACTTGGAACAGGAATTACAGATAATAAAAAAACCCCCAAAATTATACTACCTGCCACAGTTTGTTAAAGTACCATGCACAGAGCAGAGAGCTATTTCAGTAACTGAACAGATCCCATTCCTCCATATTTTACTTTCATTTTGAGAAGAGTTGACTTCAATGACTTCAAGTTTATCGTTAACGTACCTGTCCCGGCTTCCTTCTGTGATGTGATAGAGATAATTGGCACCTCCATCAGCGCAGGCTCTCAGTGTGGCTGCAAGCGAAGAAACAGAACATCAATGCATTGGCATTAAAAACCAAAAACCACATCCAGTTACTCCATTACCGACACTTCCGTGTAAACACAGTGTTCGTTGCAGCCTAGGGAATACACTTGAGATCTCCTACGCCTTTTAGCTTCCTAGACTTGACTCCTTCCCTTCTTTCTCTAAATAGATCTTTGAACTGGTTTTACTCTACTGGTGCCAATCTCCATCTGACTGTGCCACTGTGCTTTCCAAAGAGCTTATTCCTACCTATCCTGACCTACCACTCAGTCAGCTTAGACTAAACGGGGTGCAGGCATTCAAAACCTGCAAAGGGCCAGGCGCCATGTGGGACATGTATTTGTCTAACCAAGTGGGAACTTGCACCTTAAACCCACGAATCTTCTCACCCAGGCAGAAAGTTCACAGTGGTGGCTTTATAATGACCTGCATAAAAACTGAGGAAGAAATAGTTGGGCACGACAATACCCGTTTTCTCTTTTTTTTTCCCTCCTATGACACAAAAAATGATGTCTGCTACAGTTGCTATACTGCTCCTCGGATTGTTGGAATCACTTGATATCAGGTAGGTAAATCCTGAACTACCCTGGGACAAAAGGAACAAACCCACAACCACTTCCAGTGCTTACACGTAACTTGGGGACCGCAAAGGGCACGTGCCACTGATTCCAATTGATTTAAACAAGCACAGACACGCTGTTCTCTTTTGATCCTTTTATAGGAGTAAGTAAGAGAAAAGTCTAACACTATTATTACAAAATCAGATATAAATTCATATAATTTATTCATACGCATCCCCATTAATCACCATTTAACTGAAACACAGTTCTTTCGTGAGATATTTAAATACAATAAGCTATTGAAGATTGAAAATGACCATCTTGTCTTAGCAGTCTTTATCAGCTTTGCTTGGAGATGCACAAGTCAGATAACCGTAGCATGGAAGACAAAAGCAGCTGTCGCTTCTACACTAGAGCAGAGCGTTCCTTCCAGGTCTGCAGGCAAGGAGACACTGCCTGATAGACCCGAGAGGGCTGAAAGTCAGAGGATCGTGGGGGAGGAGGGGAAAGTAGAAGAGACAAAGCAAAGGAACAGCTTGCTCAAGTTTTGGGAAAAAGAAAAGGTATAAACAATCAGATCAGGCACTTCAAGCTGCTGAGAATCAATTTTCAGTTAAAGCTCTTTGCTTTGGTGTTTATTTCTCAGTCAGAACCACCTCTCAGCAGTGATACAAACTTACATTTTTCCTTTTGGCACTCATTGGGCAGGCAATCTGCTTCTCCCTCTACCTAAACCATCAACTTACCCAGCCTATACATATTGGGACAACAAAGTTCATCTCTGTATCTGCTCTCACCTTTAAGCCATTCTTTCTCTTATTTGGCTGCTGAACTTCCACCACAGGGAATGTTCTGTATGGGTATATCCACCATGCAGTACCATGCGACCTTGGCTGAGATCTTTTGGAAAAAAAAAGCAGCAAGCAGGGCAGCACAAAAGCCCCCAGTTCATCACAGGTAGCTTTGGGTACAGCAGCTTTTTCCCTGCAGGCTGCAAGAACGTGCAGGACAGGAGAACTAGCATTGCACTGCTCGGTATCTCTTCCGGCACAGCTCCTGCTCCAGTGACCCCTGTTCTCTCCTGTCCATCGTATTAACAGTACCCACTATGGCAAGCACTACCTCTCTTCAGCCTTCTTGTGCAGATCGTGCCCTTCTCTGTCTCCTTATCCTTCTTCCCCCACTCCTTCCAGCCACCATCCAAACCCATATTAACAAGCCAAGCTGCACTAGATTTGATCCTGACAAATCTTATTAGCTGAGATAATTTCTGAATTACAGTAGCTGGCCAGCCACTTGCAATGGGGCTTCACTGGTTCAGGCTCTTGTCAGGTTCCTCGCGCATCCTGGTGAATACAAACATCACAAGACAAGAAGAACGTCCTTTTCCCCCCTGCTGGATTTGACTTTAAGCTTTTAACTTCTCCTCTCACTTGAGGTTACAGCTGAAACTGGATCCATGTAATTCCTTTCACCTGGGCATATTTGTTAAGTTCTCTCAGGGATTTCAGCTCACGTGAAATTTAGTAATGGTCCATTGCTAGAAGAGTGTGTAATATCAGTCCTTAAATTAGCTATCTGGGCCATTGGTTTATTGAGCAGATTTAAGGCATCTAAGAAAGCCCTAGGACCTAAGCAACTGCAGAATCTCTTCACTTCCCTCGAGCTGCAAAAGCAATTCATCAGTTGAGACACTCTTCACAACCAAAACCATAAGAAGGCTGCAGAAATATAGTTTTCTAACTTCGGGTACAGAACCTGCCTAAAGGATGTTTCCCAGGCCAAAGACAGTCCCAGCTTTTTCCTTCTGAGAACACTGATTTTTATAGCTATTCCCCCACATTTTAAGCAAATAAGTCACTTCTGACTTCTGGGAAAAAAAGAAGGGATGAGATACAGAAGGAGAGAGATGAAAGAGTCTATTATCTGTCTCAATTACTCTAAGACAGCCAGAGCCTTAACTACTGTAAATTATCTCAATGGACTTATGACAAGTAAAGCCTGACCTAAGTTCTTTTCACCTCATTTTATTATTTTAAAACAACATGACCAAAAAACCAGAACAAACTAAGTATTACAAAACAAATCAGTCTTCAAGCAGTCTGGTACATGTAAAACTACCGAGACTCTCCCAAAGACCCAAAGGTGCCGAAGTAACAGGTCTATGACAGTAGTTTGCTGTTCACAAGGATATGGAGCTACTATTTGACATCTCATATAGAAATAGTTGCCTTATATAACTGCAATTTAAAGCTGCCCCCCACATATTTATTCTTATAAAGAGGACTAAATAATAATAAAACAAATTTAGCTTTGGTAGCATTGTAAAGTTATTTAGAGAAACTATTTATGAGGTACTGATCCTTTACGAGAAAGTTAATTACTTACACTGGAAGGAACCAAAGCCCCAGGTGCTTTAAGTAACTAGCAGGTAATTAACTGATTGGCTGGAGGCCAGTATATCATATTATTTCTAAGCCTTGCTTGACAAAAAGTAATGATATATATTTGCTGGAAGAACATGTATCATTATTATCTGGAAGTGTTTAAGGAGACAGTCAGCAATTCCAAGCTCACAATTCAGATGGAAAATTCTCTATGAAAAGATAATAGGAACTGATTTTATACAGTGCCTTCTACATTAGAGACAAAATTGCTTTACAAACAACAGTTTGGCCAAGGTGCAGCACGGCAACTGCGTGGGCAAATCTAGCAGTCTCTAGGCACTTTGCAACTGCTCATACAAAACCTCATTAGTTGTTTCAGCAGAAACTGAATGACCTGAACAAGATGGGGGCTTTGTTTTGCTTGGCATTGTGAAAACAGAGAGACCGTCCAAGAAGTTAACAATTTAAACAAGTTAAAAAAAAAAACAAACAAAAAGGTGGAAAGTGACACAGAGGGATGAAGTGCTAATGGTCACACACGGGTCAAAGACAAGTTATCTTCCAAGGGAACCAAAACGGATGGTGGGGCTTGGAGAGGGAAGAATAACTTAAGTGGTCAGCCAGAACACAAAAGGTCTCGCATACACCTTCTCTTCTGACCCAGAAGGTTCCTATCCCGTTATCGGAGTCCCCTCAAATTTGCCAGGAGCGCAGCACGTGGAAGTACTCACTAGCCTACGTAAGTCAGAATGAAAGTAAAGACATTATCTAAATGCTTTTAGTTAATCCTGCCTCTGTGACCTCAGCCAGACTAAGGAACGGTCATCCAAGTGCTCACCCAAGCTCTGACGGACGGGTCAGGAGGACCAACACTTCCAGCGAAGACGCTGTGATATGCAACTGGGAGCAGCAGCTTTTTCAACCAGCCCAACTTGCAGCAGGGGAGACGCGTGCCCTTGGCCACCCTGCTCAGCTGGAGAGCCCCACGGTACCACTTCATGCTTTTGTTATTAGAAGAGACGACAGCACACGGCCGCGCTAGCTCAGTGTGTGAATCTGTGCTCCTTGGCATTGCCACCAACTACCACCTTTCCAACCTGAATATTCTGTGTTAACGCCCACTCCTCAGAAATAGCTCTGTCTGTCAAATTACCACTGTCTCTATCTGTCAAATTCCTTTCTGATAGGACTCCAGTGTCATTAAGTGAACTAGGGAATGGAGACATAACTGACAAACCAACAGTTTCGTTGTGTTGCTTAGTGGAAGAGCACAGAAGAGGGAACTGCATGCCACTGCCAATAATTGCTGCCCAAGTTATTGGGAGTAGCGTATGTTCCGTCCAGTAGTGTTTGAAATTACAGCAAGAGTAATTACCCTTCAGCTCCTCCGACGCTGAGGAAGAGTTATATCAAGAGCATACTATCTGCCCATGGTATCTCTGAAAGAGCTTTGCATAGGCAAATGCGAATGAAGAAACCAAAGTCTTTCCGAATAATGTCCTTCCTTTTAAATGGTGTCTCTTCTGCTAGGAACCAGTGAACTATTTCCCTTTAGTGACCGAAACCGAGAGGCCAATTTTAGGGCTAATTACTAGAGAACAGTTTTTCACAAAAATTATTCTAACAGAACAAAAATAATGGAAACAATTAATATTACATTTTATTTATTCTTTTGGAAAATATAAATAACTTCCTTGTCACTGTGAGACAGGATATGAACAGCATATCAAATAAAAAATGAAGGTCTTGGCTCTGAGCTAACTAGTCCTGAAGCTTTTTGCAGAAGAGAAGCAAGTATTTTACCATACCTGGGGAAGAAAAGCACAACTTTATTATTCTTACTCCATTATTCCTCGCAATTAGCATTTAAAATATTTTTTATTTTTTTCAAACAGATCTTGAAATTAATCTATGATTTTGCCTAAATTCAAATTTATGACATCTCCCCTTAAACTGCCTTAGCATGTCCCTATATGCAATCTGTTTCCCTCATTCTTTTATTGATTCAGTAACCTGGTAACCATAATTAACCTGCCAGCATAATCTACACATAAGAGAACCCTGCTTAATTAATGACTTGGAGCGCTGGCAGTAATGTGTAAGTGATGATATATGGTAGATAGGCAGAGAATTGCTTGGTTTGCTTGATACATTTGGCTAACACATTTTTGTCTTGGCATTAATGAAAAATACCAGCTACCAGTAACAAAATGCATAATCTGTATTTATGTCCTTTCTCTTCTCCTCCTCTGTCCTGCAGAAACTGCAAAAACATATTTAACAAATCCACGGCTTTGTACGGCTGCAGATTGCGAGCTAGGAGATCTATCTGTCTCAAACTATTCCCTCCCACCCGAGAGTTTCTACCTGTGTTATCAGGACTGTATGCAACTGCTATTAAATACCAAGTACAGTGCGCTGCCGACATCTCTCTTCTGGTCATCTGTAGCTCTGTTTAGCAAATCACCTGTCAGTCCATAACAGTTTTCTGCTTTGCAGGTGGACCCTGGTCTTGCTGAGAGGCTTTGTAACTATTTAAAATAGGTCTACCCTGAATTTGTCTAAAACTGAAAAGGCTTAGCTCCTGTCATCAGTATTTTAAATCTGCAGCAGTGCACAGGGCTTTCAGTAAGCATGATGAAGAACATCACCAGCTCTCAGGATATTCTGTGGTTCCAAATGAATTGAAAGAGGTACACAGGTGCTTTCGAAGCTGCTGCTGCAGGTGAACATTCAGGCTGCTACAGTCAGCAGCAGCAAGAGCAGTCAGCCTTCTGCAGTAGTACACAGAATCACAGAATGGTAGGGGTTGGAAGGGACCTCTGTGGGTCACCCAGTCCAACCCCCCTGCCGAAGCAGGGGCACCTACC